GCTCGGGGCCATGCAGGAGGCTGAGGCAGGAGGATTGTTGCAAGTTCGAGACCAGCCTAGGCTCCAAAGTGAGCTCAAAGGCCAGCCTGAACTGCACGGAGAGACCCTGTCTCAAAAAGACAAAAAAAAAAAAGTCAACATACACATGACCGTCCCACACAGTCTGTAATCACAGTACGGTAGATTCAGGCATCCTCACCTCTTGCATCTGTAAAGTACTTCACGTGAACAAAGGCTCTACCAGACACTAATTCACACTGAGCGCTGGTTAAAATGTGACCTGGAAGGAGACCCCTCACTTCACATTAAAGACTTACAGCTGCTACTGCTCAAAAGCCATCAAATGCAGACAATCCATTTTCCAATTAGGGTTTTAGGGTTCCACAACAAAAATATTAAACCAAGGCACAGCTGCTTTTCCCTCTCTTCTAAGCACTCAGCCCCTCATATACTACTATATTAGGCTGTCTGGGTGGTGAGTGGGCCCTTTCCCAGGACCACAGATCTGAAACAAAAACTAAGCCACATCTATGCACAACAGGATTTGGTAGTAGGTGGATTTTGTTTTAGGGCCTGAGAAGCGGACCTAATAGGCTAGTGAAGGAACAAGTAGAAGATGCAAGACTGCAAGTGCAAAGCACACACGTGTGCACACATGTAACAATGGGCACGGAGCAGCCTTTATTCTTTCTTTTCCTTTATTCTTTAACAGCTCTGCCCACCCCGTCAACCCTCCTCTTTCCTTCTTCTCTGCTGCTGCTATCAGAGCCCGACAGCCTGTATTACTATGGCTTCATCTCTTTAACTCTCTGAAGCCATTCCACAGCCAAATAACAGGTTTGTCGCCCCATGATTTTTTCTTGCAAAAATCTGTTTTCTAGGTAGCAGAGCCCTCACCTCAGAATGCTCTACACAGTATGGCCAAGAATCCCTCACTCACCCCAGTCATGTCACTTCCCACCTCCTTTGTGTATACCAAGGTTTGTTACTTGTTTTTCCCTTATGCTTTCCTAAGGAGACATGCCACCAAAAAACAAAAACCAAAACTACATGTCTGCATGTAAGTCAGGCATGGCAGCACATGCCTGTAACCCCAGCATACGGGAGGCTGAGGCAGGAAGACCACTGTAAATTCAAGGCCAGCCTAGGCGACATAGAGTTAAAGGCCAGCCTAAACTACATAGCAAGACCCTGTCTCAAAAAAAACCACACACACACAAAACGAAACAAAAGCCTGAAGCTTTAAAAATTTTCTAGAAATGTCTTCAGGGCTGAGGGTGATAGCCCACACCTGTAATCCCAGCACTTGTGAAGCTGAGAGAGGAAGATCTCCATGACTTCAAGACCAGCCTGCACTACATTGTGAGACCCTGACCCAAAACAAACACAAAGTGTTTTTAGTGTTAGGGCTGTAGCTCAGTAACAGAACATGTATCTAAGCAGCTTCACAGTCCTAGGTTTGATCCCTAGCACCGCCAAAAAAAAAATAATGAATTTTTACTAAAAATGTATTTATGCATACTATACAACAGTCCCTAAGTCTTGACAGGGACCATAAGTTAGAAACCAGTGTACTGTGGAAGGGACTGGAAAGCATTGTAACTGCTACGGAAAATAGTCATCCCACTCTTGTCGGTACTGAGAATTGAATTCAGGACCTCGAGCTTGCCAGGCAGCCATTATGCCACTGAGCTACATCCCCAGCGCAGTTACCCCACTTCCGAGGGAAAGTAACTGAAAGCAGGGTCTCTAAGATACATTCCTGCACGCTCACGTTAACAGCAGCACTATTCACACAGGCCAAGAGGGCCAAGCAACCCGAACGTCCACCAGTGGATGAACAGATACACAAAATGCGGCAGACACATACAATGGAATACTGTTCAAGCTTAAAGGAAAGCCTGTCACATGTGATTGCATGGGTGACCCTTGAAGGCACTATGCTAAGGAAAATAAAGCAGTTACAAAAGGTCAAATACTACCTGACTCCACTATATGAAGCAACTCAGTCAAATACCCAGACACAAAAGGTGAGACTGTTCACAGGGCGGGTAAAAGAGTAAAAGGCATTTGTTGTTTAATGGGCACATGGAGCTTCAATTCTGCAAAATGAAAAGCTCTGAAGATCTGTTTCACAATAACTGAAATATGCTTAACCTCACTGAAGTGTACATTTAAACATTATTAAAAATGTAAACTCTGCTGGGCGTGGTGGTGCACACCTGTAATTCCAGCACTCAGGAGGCTGAGGCATGAGGATCACTGTGAGTTCGAGACCAGCTTATGCTACCAAGTGAGCTCAGGGACAGCCTGAACTCAAGAGTGAGACCCTGTCTCACAAAGAAAACAAAACAAAAGAATGTAAATTTTAGGGAAAGGGGTGGTAGGTGCTGGGGATTTAGCTCAGCAGCAAAAAGCACCTGCTTGGCGAGCGCAAGGTTGTGAGTTCGGTTCCCAGTACCGGAGAAAAACCAAAAACCAAAAACCAAAAACCAAAAAAAAAAAAAAGGAAAGGGGTGGTGGCACACGTCTGTAATCCCAGCATTGAGGCAGGAAGACTGCTGTGTTCCAGACCAGTCTGAACAACATGGCAAGACCCTGTCTTTAAAAACAAACAAAAACACTCAGTAATCATCCTGCTTTGGCCTCTCTAGTGCTGGGACTACAGGCACACACAAATACACCTGGCACATTTATTCTTTTTTTTCTTTTTTGGTGAAAAACTCTCAGGGATCCTTCTGCCTCAGCCTCCAAAGGGCTGAGACAACTGGACTGTGCCACCTCTTCTAGCACAGCTTTTTTGTCGCTGCTGCTTTATTAGTGCATATTGGTTCTACAGTATGGTTTCTTACAGATTTAAGAAACAGTAATAATTCATTTCTTCACTGGAAAGAACTTCATTTTTTTCCTTCAAAAATTATGCAGTAGCCAGGCATGATGGTGAATGCCTGTAATCACAACACTGGGGGGCATGAGACAGGAAGGTCGAGACAAGTTCCAGGATAGCCTGGGCTACAGAGTGACAACTTGAAAAGCAAAACTGGTTGGCAGGCAGTGATAGAGCATTTACCTAGAATATGAGGCGTCACAAACACAAAAACATGCGGAATAAAATATGGTAAGACTGTTGCTGCTAATTAAAGCTCAAACCAATGGATGAAACACTCCATACTGGTGTTGGAAGTTTCTCAATGACAAGGTAAACAGAAGGATGGTCCACTGGACTGACTACTTACCTTTAAAAATGTAAAGATCCTTTTGTCTACAATGTTTAATGTGTTAAAATAGGGCCGTGGATAAGGCTCAGCAGCACAAGCGCCTGCCTGGCAAATGCCAAGGTCGATTCAATTCCTGGTACAAAAAAAATAAAACATAAAAACTTCGTTAAAACACTGCACTGCTGGCGTTACGGACTGAAGAGCGCGGTCACCCCTGGCCTCCACCACAACTGTGTGGAGAGCCGACTGCAGGGAGAGAGGGCCCCTGCTGGGAAGGCAAGCAGGAGACCTCACGGACAGCAAGCCTGACGGCAGCCTCACCTAGTCTTGCGCCCAGCATCTGGAGCTGAGAAAGCCATGAGGGCAGACCGTCTTCAAGTTTTTGTCTCAAGTGTTTTTTATTTTTTGCAGTACCAGGGTTTGAACCCAGGGCCTTTGCACTAAATTATATCCCTAGCCACTTTATTTTTGAGACAGGGTCTTGCTAAATCACTAAATTGCCCAGGAGCCTGGCCCTCAACTTGTGATCCTCCTGCCTCAGCCTCCTAGTGCTAGGATAAAGGTGTGTGCTACCATGACCAGTGAGGCCTGGCTTTTAAATCGCTGAGTGATGAGCAAGGCTGGGCATCCCAAATAGGCACAGGCACCAGGATCAGAATCACCTGGGGGTGGGGGGCTTGTTAAACTACAGCTCGGGGCCATGCAGGAGGCTGAGGCAGGAAGATCCTTACGAGTTGGAGACCAGCCTGGGCTACAAATTGAGCTCAAGGCCAGACTGAACTGCACAGCAAAACCCTGTCTCAAAAAGAGCCCTGGATTCACCTTGGAGGTTCTGACTCCAGGTTGGGTTGGGCTGGGCTGTGCCTGGCTTGATGGGATTTTAATTTCTAACAAATTTCAAGGGGACAGCAAGGCTGCTCGCCCAGGAACCACTCTGAGAATCACTGATTCAGGTTTGTGAAGAATAATTTGTGTTTGTTGTCCAGTTTGTAAAGTATTTTCATACATTATTTCATGTAAGCCTCCTAAGAGGTATTACTCTCATTCTCTTTTGCACCTTAAGAACTAAGACTTAGTGAAATTAAACTCTTTCGCACAACCAATAAGCACATCCACAGAATCCACGTCTCCGGTTTCTATTACACCAGACCACATGGAACCGTGTGGAGGTGCAGCAGAGACCGGAGCACAGGAAGCCTTGCTAGGAAAGAGCAGCAAAGGAAATGATCCAGAACAGAAACACGCCAGGGGGTCAGGAAGGAGTCACGGGGTAGGCCTCCCATGGCAGAACGGGACCTGCGGGGAGCGGGGGCAGGAGGAGCACTGCAGACTACAGAGGTCTCCAAGCTTGAAGAACACACTTCTCTCCCTCCACCACCTCCCCTGCACCCAGAGTGCAGAGCCTGGACGCCACGGGCTGTGAGGGTAACAGGGAAGTCACCACCAAACTGCACAGCCTTCCCACAGCCTGCACTGGAGCTCCAGCTGGCCAGCCCACTTCAGTGCAGTGTTTTAACAACTGCAACTCACCAATACTCACAAAAAAGACAGTTACCAGATCTATTCTACTAACAGCCACTGTTTAGCTGACATAAGTTTTCCAAATAGTGTTAGAGATGGGTCCACATTTATAAACAACTCAACATAATGCATTTTAAAGTGGGTTTTTTTTTCCAGTACAGGGAATTGAACTCAGGACCTTGAGCTTGCCAGGCAGAAGCTGTGCCACTGACTTATATCCCTGGATCCTCAACACAATACATTTTAAGGTGATCTTAAGTCTCTCCGTCATGAATGAAAATCAGACATTTATGAAAAATCCCCTTTACTACACATACTCCTTATACCAAACAGTGTCTAAGAGGTTGCACTCATATTCTCCAGCTAAGCACCCAAAAAGGATGTCGTACTACTATGCCTTCTAAAAACATGAAGAGGCCAGGGATATAGCTCTGCTTGGTGGCACAGCACCTTCCTGGCAAGTGCAAGGTCCTGAGTTTGAGTCCCAGTACCAAAAAAAGGAAAAAAAAAAAAAAAAAAAGGAAGAACCCAGGCACTGTGACACATGCCTCTAATCCTTGCATTCTAGGAGGCTGAAGCAGGAGTACTCCAAGTCTGGGCCCAGACGGGGCCGCTTAAGATGATTTGTCCCAAAATACTCATTTAAAAAAAAAATTGCCAGGCATGGTGGCACAAGCCTGTAACCCCAGCACGTGGGAGGCTGAGGCAGGAGGATCCTTGCAAGTTTGAGACCAGCCTGGGCTAAAGTGAGCTCAAGGCCAGCCTGAACTGCATAGCGAGACTCTGTCTCAAAAAAACAATAAGTAAATAAATAAATAAATAAAAATTTAGGTGACCTTGAGTTTGACATTGAATTTTTTTACATTAAAGACATCCTATGTGAAAGAAAAAAACAGGTCAGTTCATCTTGTATTATTAAATTTAAAACTTTACCCAGTGAAAACACATGAGAATTAAAAGACAATCACAAACCAGGAAAAAGTTGGGTGTGGTGGTGCACACCTGTAATCCCAGCACTCAAGAGGCTGAGGTGCCAGGGTCCCTGTGAGTTTCCACCCCCCCCCACCCCCCCATGAGTTCAAAGCCAGCCTGGGCTACACAGCAAGACCCTGCCTCAAAAACAAAAACAAAAACAAAAAACCCATTTTGACAAGATGTTTCGAGTGAAGGACTTGTTTTAAAGCACACGAAGAACTCAAACTTAAAGCTGGGGCTATAGCTGTGATAGAGGATGTGCTTCATGCCTGTGAGATCCTTAGTTCAATCACTAGCACCGAAAACAAAAACCTGGAAGCACCAAAAGGCCCTTCAACAGGGGAGTGGACAGATGAGCCCTGATGCACTCACACAATGGGGCACTGTTCTGCAACTGAAGGAACAAGTGCTCAAGCCAGAAACAGACATGGCTGGATTTTAAAATCCGTATTGCTCAGTACAAAAGCCAGTCGCAAAAATGATATGTTGTGTCATCCCAAATATGCGACATTCTGATAAAAGAAAAACTACAGACAGTAAAAAAGATTAGTTGCTAGAGGTTTAGGGAGAGAGTTAGAGTGAACAGGTGAAGTACAGGAATTTTTTTAAGGCACTGCAACTATTGTTAATACTGCAATTATGAGTATATGACATTTATGCATGTCAAAGCCCATACATTTTACAGCACAAAGAATCAATTTTTTTTTTTTTTTTTTTTTTTTAGACAGGGTCTCGCTATGGAGTTCAGACTGGCCTTGAGCTCACTCTGTAGCCCAGGCTGGTCTCGAACTCGCAGCAATCCTCCTGCCTCAGCCTCCCAAGTGCTGGGATTACAGGCATGTGCCACCACACTTGGCAGAATGAATCTTAATGTATACAAAAATTGTAAGATCATTTAGAAAATGAAATGACCCAAGGATAGCAGGTAGAATGGACAAAACAGTCCACGGAACTATTCCAAGCCTATGAATAACCTCACTGAAGCGGAAGGGAAGAGGTGTGCAGTGAGCAACAGGGCAGCTGATGTTCCCCGTGGGTAGATGAGCTAACAATTCTAATGCTACTATACATCTGTACTGTAACTGAACACTAAGGAAATGGGTGGTGGATAGGGGCACTTAAAGATAAGCAAGAAAGGATGCCAGAGGAGCCCCCACGGCAATGGACAGGGCTGGAGACATCAGCCTTGACACACGCTACAGATATGTACAGGTATGTGCAGACAGGGCAGCACACACATTTCCTTGCCGTCATCTGACAAGGCCCACAGAAATACTCTCACACCCGACACCCAAGAGCCATGAACACACCAACTACTAAAATCTTAGTTTTTAATATTCTCCAAAATGAAACAGGACCCTTGAAGAAATGGTTGACACAGGGATTGGGACAGGAAATATACAAGACATGCCTGGGGCATCTCACTAGGACGGAAGATGAAGGGCTCAATGGAACCAAACACCTGCTCCAAGGGAACATAAGCAATGACTGATGAGGTAGGAGGATCGCCGCGAGTTTGAGGCCGGCCTGTGCTACATAGGGAGACCATGTCTCAAAACAATGAAAACTAAAAGAACGAAACAGAGAGAGAGGGGTGGGGAGAGGTATGACTGAAAGAGCTCTGGGCGCCAAAGCTAGAACAGTCCTGAGCCAACAGAAGTGGTGGCGCTGGATGATAAGGAAAGCATAGAATAAATACCTCTGAGTCTATGCCGACACGAAGACAAAAGGAGGACAGAGAAACCCCTTGGAAACCCCTTAGGTTCACACGCTTCCTTTTCAAGGAGCAAGGACATAAGCCCCAGTCCTCATGGCAGGCTGCACACAGTGACAACCTTCTAAAACGTACAGCACGAGCCGGGTGTGGTGGTGTACACCCGTAATCCCAGCACTCGAGAGGCTGAGGCAGAAGGATCCTTGCGAGCTCGTGACCAGCCTGGGTTTCAAAGTGAGCTCAAGGCCAGCCTGAACTGTCTCAAAAAAGGCAAAAAATAAGTAAGTAAATAAATAAATAAATATAAATAAAAATAAAACATATGGCACAAAAGGGGAAATGGAATGAGAAAACGAAATGCAACCTAATTCAGCCAAGTGACCATGGCCAACATCAACAGTGATCAGTCATGTTGACAGTACGCATCCAGTCTCACCCGTAAAACCCCTGTATCCTTAGTCTATCATAAAGAAAACAAACTGGGGATATAGCTCAGTAGCATAAGCTCTTGCTTGGCAAGCCTAAGGTCGAGTTCAATTCCCAGTACAAAAAAAAAAAAAAAGAAAACAAGACAAAACACCAGACAAATCCCAACAGTGAGACTGTCTACAAAATACCTCATCAGTCTTTCTCAAAAAATGTCAAAGTCATAGCCAGGCATGGTGTCACACGTATATAATCCCAACACTATGAGACGCTGAGGCAGGAGGATCACAAGTTCAAGCCCAGCTTGAGAAACTTCGTGACGTAGTGAAACCCTCTCCCAAAAAACAAGAGGGGCTAGGGACATACTGTAGTGTGAAAGCCTGGCATCAATCTTCCATACTGCAAAGAAAGTCAAGATCATTTTTTGTTTTGTTTTGTTTTTCTCCGGTACCGGGAACCGAACTCACGACCTTGCGCATGCCAGGCAGGCGCTTTTG